ATGCAGCCATTAAAAGAAAACTGAGCAAAATTGATTCTTCGACCTATTTAAATGTTTTGAAACGCAGCCCATAGGAAAGCATGAAAATAGGCTTTTTATTCCAAATGGAAATGGGATATTTTTTAATTAAAGGAAACTGAGCATAATTATCCGTCAGGGATGCAGACTTTTGAAAAGAAACTGAGCTAAATTGATTCGTCAGAGATGCAGTTTTCTGAATTGAAAGGAAACTGAGGCCAAATAAAAGATCCGTCAGAGATGCAGCCTTTTGAGTTGAAAGGAAACTGAACTTGATAGGTCCGTCAGAGGTGCAGCATTTGGAATTGAAAAGAAACTGAGCTAAATAGGAAATTTTGAATTGAAAGGGAAGATCTGTGGGAATTCTGATTAATTGATTGTGGGAATTTTGGAAAAAAAAACTAACTGAACACTATTTTAAGATGCTACTGTACACAATGTTATATGTTTTTCCATTCGGGGAAAGAATGTGGAGATTCTGGGCATTTGACACACACGAACATGCTACATACAGCAGACCATGAGAAGCACGGTTTTTCTAAGTTGACCCCCGCTACCTGTAACGTTTGCCCTTGCGCTTTATTAATTGTCATTGCAAAACTGAACTTAATAGGGAACTGCAACCTTTTGAATTGAAAAGGAAGATCTGTGGGAATTATAGGGATCCGTGGTATAATAACATTTTCACCTTGTCCTACGCCTGTCAAAATTGTAGCACCGATTATGTTCCGTCCAAGATGTGTTACACGCAGCCTTGTCCCGTTACATAACCGAGGAGCATCTAAATTTCGCATTAGCGTGACTGGGACGCCTAATTTAAATTGAAGCTTATGTGAGGGCACACCTGACAACTCTACGAGATATGAAGTGCTCTGTTCTGTGTCCATAACTGTGTCTACTGTCAAATACTCTGTTATTTCTCCTGCTATTTCGCTTAATATATCTGAATTTATTTTGTTAACGCTCTCATTTTTTGGTGCAAGAATCGCCCTTTCACATAACCATTTGTCTTCATGCATGTTGTTCGTTAAATCTGAATAAATGCTTGCAATTAATTCGGAATGACTCTGTACTAAATAACAAAAAACTCTCGTCAATTTAACGCAGCCCTCAGCATCCGTTTCCAACCGCCCATCGCCAATTTTTAATAGTGTGTCAGCATAGTTTCCAGCATTGATATCATTATACAAATATAATAGATTATAGTGGTAAATATGTATTTATAATTCACTCATATTTTCATTTGCTTTTATAATTGGCGAGACACATGATTTACTGTTTTATTTCAGTCTGAATATAGCAGTGACAACATCACGACAGCTACAGTTGATTGGATGGTTAAAAAATATCCCCTTCCCTTCTCATTTTTCGATGACGAAGCTACACAAGTATATTTTCGAGCAATTTGCCCAAATATGGGGTTTCCTAAAAATATTAAGTAATTAAGTATTATGTATGAATTGGACAAACAGCTGCCACACTTTGATTCAGACAATCAACATTTCCGGTGCTTTGCTCACATTTTGAACCTTGGTGTACAAGATTTATTAAAGACCTTAGCATTACACAGTGAAACCGACAATAAGGGACAAGAACAGCAGTATGAAGATAATGAAGACGAAACTGGGGAAGATGAAGAATATGCGCCAAATATTGCTGACTCACGTACAGCTATAACAAAATTACGCAGTATTTCCAGTAAAATAAAAAGAAGTGAGATATTGAAGAGGAAGTTTCAGTCTGCTTGTGAAGCAGCTGGCGTGCCATCAAATCTGAACCCCATACTCGACTGTCCAATGAGATGGAATTCCACACATGATATGATTGGATTTGGTTTAAAAGTGAGAACTGGCATTAACATATTGTGCACTTCTGTCACCGAATTGAATGATTTTCAAACAGATAGTGAGTGGCAAATACTCGAAAAAATACATAAGTTTCTAATAAACTTTAAACTTCTATCAACGAAACTTGGTGGAGAAAAATATGTTACATTACTGCTAGTCATTGTATCATTCAATCTCTTGCACGATAAAATTGAATCCATGGTAAAACAATTAGATGAGAAACCTAATCGATCCGAAGTGGATGAAAGGCTCATTCTGGGTTTTCAAGCATCTCGAGATAAAATGCTTAAACATTATAAAAAGAGCAACTGGATTTATTGTACCTCTTTAATTTTAGACCCAAGGCATAAGACTCAGGCTTTTGACATAACATTATGGGGGAAGCAAATTAAAACAGAAAGCCTGCGCAAATTTAATGAACTTTTTAAAGAATATAAAAGTTTACACTCAGTGAATACATCTCTAGAATCACCAAGAAATGAAAAGAAAGTATGTGAATATGATGAAGATGAAGACGTAATAGACTTTGAGAAATTGTATGCATGTCCCTCGACGTCATATGGATTTGGATCTTTTCATCAAGGCTTAGTTATAGACGAATTGGAGGAGTACCTAAGTAAACCCAGAGCCGCCAGTTCGGAAGACATTTTAGAGTAGTGGAGGACACATGAGACAGAATATCCGACTTTATCGAAGATGGCCCGTGATTTTCTTTCAATACCTGCAACTGCAGTACCTGCTGAGAGATTATCTTCTAAAGCATGATTAGTAATTAGAAAACATAGAACTAGGTTAAGTGATGAGTCAGCCAGATGGTTACTTTGTATTAATTCTTGGTCAAAAGAATTAATATAAAGTAACAGTAATGTCAAAGCTGTTGTGTACTGTTATGTAACTTAATTTGTATTGTATTTTATTTTTTTATTTAAATAGTAAATTGTATAACTCTTTTATTCCATTTCATATAAGGGTCTTATCAATCTCTTTCTAGACAGATAATGTTCTTTATAATACAGTCAAGTTAATGTCATTAATTTGTTTTTTATATGTTTTTACTAAGTTTTAGCCCATGTAAGCTTATTAAATGTAAACGTTTATTCAGAAACAGACTAACTCCCGTGGCCGTGAGACTTGGTAGACAGCTCAGTTGGTTAGAGCATCGGCACGGATCGCTTAGGTCGTGGGTTCAAACCCCACCCAGTATTAGTTGATTTTTCGAATTTTTCATTAAATGTTTAGACATTTATTAATTTGGTTGGTCTTTCTATGGCTATGTTAATTCAAGCTCAAAATGTGCCTACTCTAAGTTGTTCTAAGATCTGAAGTAACGTTTAATAAATAACAATAAACTAATAGGTAATTGCGAGACTTGCGAGACTCTTGCTGCAAGACCAAGACCAAAAACAAGACTGAGAGCGCAATACCAAGACAAAGAACAAGACCAGGTGTATTGGCGCAAGACCAAGACCAAGACTGGCTAAGTCTCGTCTGGTTCTTGCATTTGGGCAGCACTACTTTCCGTACTTGCGCTAATAATTAATTTAACAAAAATGTTTATGACCAATGAGCGAATTGGGGTTCTAGCAGTGATAATAGGACGTAACCGCTTGTATGTGTGCTCCTGGCAACACCGGTTTTCGTACAAAATAAGGTTCGCAGCCATTCAATTGTGTATTATAGTATTCTGTTGTAGAGACCGTGGTAGAGTAATAGTAAGGAGGACTATCTCTGAGCACGAAAGTGTCCGTTGAAATGCGTTAAATTAGGACGGCGCTACAAATAGCAGCAGGGTAAATTTTAAAAACATTTTTATATTTAAAAAATAGACTATTTAAAAAAGTTTTATAACTGTTCACACTAAAAATTACTAAACATATTTTAAGTTCACAAAAATAAGATCTTACTTATATTAATCTACGTTAATAGTAGAAGTTTGTATACTGTACCTACTGTAACTTACTACTCTAAGTCACCAAAAAGATTAAATTTTTTAACTCTTTACACTTCAATCCATCAACAACTGCTACATTCATACCATACCCTGTATCTACGCTAGCGCCATTCTGGAAGGTTTTTGAACTGTAATTTACAGCTTACAACTGGACACTTTCATCTTGTCCCCCATATGAGATAGTCCTCCTTACCTCTACCCTCCATAATAATATTGCACAGTGTCCAAAATAAAACATCTTTTAAATAGCATACTGTTTTAATTTCTAAGAAACCCTCATTACAGAATAACAGTGGGGTTAGCGGATTGATTTAAGTAGGTGAACTTAACTCTCGACATAATAGTATAAAAATAACGACTTGAGTAAATAACATTATAAGATTGCGAGACAATAAAATAATCTATATCCAAATACAATACTCCAAATATCTCTGTGTGTGCTACATTAGTACGAGTGAGTATGAAACATGTTACGATATTTGAACCACTGGACCATTGTTAATTTAGCATGCTGCCGCTGTGATATCTATAGGTATTTCTATTTTTCTTTTAAAACTATGTTCCCGTTTCCAATGAAATCGACGGTCACTAAATCACTATACATCAGCCTAAAATATCTAAGGCCTATATCTACAATTTTGTGTTAAAAAGTCAGTAATGAAGAAGTTGAAAGTCTAACACAAAATTTCGAACAGCATATAAGGAATAACACTCAGTGCAAAGAGAAATTTCCTATGTATAGGTATGTATATACCATAGTGTGAAACAAAGTGACAAAGCTGAATAAAAAATAAAAAAATAAGCCTAGTTTAATAAATGGACAGCATTGAGAGGACATCGCGAATGTTCGATTCAGTTTAAATTTAACTACGAACCATCGCGAGTTGCCTGCGCGTCACTCCGTCTTAATACAACACTCGGTCACTTGCTTGTGTACATGTTCCTCGCAGTTGGATCGTAATGAATGATCCCCATTTTGGAATACAGCACAAAATTAACCTAAGATATTCATTATATATATATAAACATGTATAAACATACACCCATCCATTTCACCTCATTTCTTTTAACTAACGATATATCGGACAATAGCAACATAGGAGAAGTTAGCTTACGACGTAACGTAATGGCGCCCCGATTGCGCCGAACACTATGTTACTTTAAATTATTCAATTATCATTTATTTATAATAAGGATGCGATCGTGAAACGTTTTGTGGTAATTGCATTTGTTATGTTTCGTGTGTGGCGGCCGGCGCCTGCGACATCCACCTGCTCTGCGTCTCGCCGCCAGCCTAACAAACAAATATACCTTAAGATAAAGAATATTAAATTAACAATTGAAAGGGACAGAGAGTATATAATACACCCATTCTCTTAGTACACTTAAACTAGGGGTTAATAGCTAGTAAGTTGACACTTAGACAAAAGTTATTTAACTCTGCGTGTTTTTATATAGTATTAATATTTATATAAGAAACTAAATCACTCAAAATCTAGTATTCAAATTTTTCATGTTATGCAATCCTCTGCTATTTCACTGGCGTATATCGTTGTCTGCTATCTGCCAATCGCAGTGCTCTTGCAATCAATCTAATAAACAAGTGCTATATCGCGCTTTGGTTTTATATTATATATTGGGACTATTGGCATTAAATTTAAAGTTTCACAAACACACAGTATACTTCATGGTTAATGGATACTGTGGCCCATTGTCACCAACATCTGTTCTCTGTTAACAATCAATATGCAGATGCGTAGCCGTGAGAACTAAGATGGTCTTAGCTTCATTTATTTATACATTTATTACAATCTAACATGTCTTATTAAGGGGATGTTTGCCAAAACTGCTACACTAGACAGGTGGGATGGCAACTGAAGTTTTTTTTTATTTACTACATATTTTGAATTATTATCAGTAAAATGTTGTGGCACCTTTGTTTAATTACCCTATGTCGCCTCTTACGATGCCCACCAAGAGAGAGTGGTGAATTTTCTTAAACTGCTATTAAACGGCGACGTCTTAGCGTATCTTATGAGATACTACCGAGAACTATCCTCTCTTGTTTTATTCTATCATTGATGGTAACCGCACCAAAATTCATAGTAGTTTAAATGATCTAAGCGCACAGACGGCAGAAAGCCACTTTGTTTAATACTATGTAGACAAAATCGAAGAGACTAATGATTCAATATAAGAGAGCTGAATATAAAAAAAAATAGAAATAGACACTGCCAAGACTGTAAACCTACATTTGGGGATTTTGGCACAAACTTCGGATTCAGCTAGTATTTTAAGTCCCACGTATGTATATATATGTAACCCACGATGTTACAAGTATGTATTTATAAAAGACTACACGCTCACCAGAGAATTCGACACGGGAGAATTATAAACAAATTTAGAATTTTCTCCGATGTCATCCTCATTAATGCTGCATTCAGCTGATTGACTGACAATTAACAGCAAAACCATTTTTGTCTTATTAGAGTCACAAACTAGCTAACAATCCACCTGAAGATAAGTGACTACTATAAACATACAGGGTTCGCAAATTTGACTTACTATATTTGTTAATGCCAGAACTATAAAAATGTGTAGAAATTACACACCTTAACATAACCTCAACATTAAATGACGTGACTACTAAGTGTTCATTTGTGTTGTAGTTTTCTATTTGCATTAACAATTGTCGAAAGTTAATTTCGCTAACACCGCATCAAAGGTGTTTTCATAGGATCACGACACACATATAAATATATGTGGAGCATATGAGATGCAACAGTTCAGCAGCAGGACTTTCCCGTGCTGATGGGGCGGTCCCCGTCATTTTCGACTTGCTTCGGAGAAGCGAGATGAGACAGTACCAAGGAGGCATTCAGCAGTACGAGGACTTCCCTGTCTCGACAGGGAGATACCTGGCCAATTGCAACGTATCGCTGTAGGGAAGGTAGGTGAGACAGTACTAAGGAGACGTACAGCAGCAGGACTTCGCCGTGTCGATAGGGTGGTCCCCGTTGATGAAGTTGGGAAACAGGTGGAAAACAGTACCGTGGGGGCATTCAGCAGCAGGAGGATTTCCCGGTGTCGACAGGGCGTCCCTGGTCAATTTTGACGGCAGCCCCGGGCGGCGCACCGGCAGACGGCGGGCCTACACGCGCCTTGATCTCCGCCGCCATTGTCATAAACGCCTGCTCCACATTAGTCGAGTTCTTCGCCGACGTCTCCAGGAATGGTATGCCCAGCTGCTCGGCGTATTGCTGTAATGTCATATAAGATGGATAATAACATCTGATAAAATTTATATATTGATTATGAAATAGTTATACAGTTCAAATAACTGACAACCAATGTAGAAGAACAGAAGTACAGTTTTGAGTGGCAGCTTCGCATAGGTAGACATAGATGTAGTGCAACCTTTCAACAGAACAAGTGTGACTTTTGAACTGGTTCGGCTTTGTGTCTGTGTAGGAGGCCTATGTTCAATAATGGTAAACATGTGAGGGGCTGGAATGAAGATGATGACGATACTAAGACTCAAAGAATAAATGTTTTACTACTGTACAGCTGAGTAGAAAGTATATTATGTGAATCACAATGGCTTCTCTCTTCTAATCTTTCTACTTAGGTGTCAAAGTGGTATAATCTATCAATCATTACATCCTTTCAATAGACTTATTGCTGACCATAAACCTACGCCAAGGAATGCCACAAAACATGGTCCTGATCCATCTGAATACATTGACTTTCTGCTGCTTACATTTACTGTTTTACCGGTTGGTTACACCATCGAGTTGGGACATCTCCTCTACACTTTGCTTATTGGTAAGAGGTTGCCACTTGAAATACCTTATCCTCCAACAGTTGTCGGTTCTTGAAGCTGTATGTCCAGCCTATTGCCACTTCAGTGTAGTGATCCATTGTGATATCAATATTCTTCATCACAAATTCTGCCACACAGAGAAAGTTCGTGCCTAATTCATAGCTCACTAAACGATCTTAAGCTTTCTCATACGGTCCAACAATATACATCATAACTTATAAAAGCACTGAATGTACATTTTGTGTGTATTTGACATAGTTTTCAATATTTAAGTCATTCAGCAAACAAACATCTAGTAGCATAACAATTGTCAAATAACATTCAAATGACATTCCTAGTGATGATGATTATGATGATAATATTTCTTATTTATACATCAAAAAGAGCGGTGGTAGCTCAGTGGTTAACGCTCGCTGTAAATATAACAGAACGCGAGTAACCCGGGTTCGATCCCCGCCGGCACCAATGAAATTGTTAATTGCAATTTTAAGTGCTGATTTACCACGTGCTCGGCGATGAAGGAAAACATCGTGAGGAAACCTGCATGTCTGAGGAATAAGAAAAAAAAATATTTCGAAGACATGTGAAGTTCGTCAACACGCATTTGGGCAGCGCGTCGGACACTTCCTTGCCCTATACCCTCTCAGAAATGAGGGGAGTCCTGAGCCCAGCAGTGGGACGTATATAGGCTGTAACTTTACTTTACTTTATACATCAAAATCTATTATGAATGAATGAATGATTCATTCATTCAAAATCTATTAAATATAGTCATAAGCCGCAAAACAATATTTACGTACATTGGCTGTGGTATAGTCAACAACTTTCTTAGTGGTGAGATCACACTTGTTTCCAACAAGCAGCTTGTTCACATTGTCGCACGCGTAACGGTCGATCTCCTCTAGCCATTGTTTCACATTACTGAATGAGTCCTGGAAATCAATAAAAAATAATAAACCTTTTTAGATATTTAGTGTTACGACACAGCCAACCTAAAACACATTTCATTAAACGGGATCATTCACAAGTCCTGTGAATTCATATTAAGTGTCAACAAATTATTTGAGTATGTGATAGTATAAGAGTTAATGTGGTGGGCGAGTGTTTTTTCTGTTTACTCACCATATGATTTTATTTTATTTTTTATTATTTTATGGGATCACTATATAATGCTATACAACGGCGACATAAGCGAAATCACTACTCCATATCATTATGTGGGTGTTATAGTTTTTGTCTCCCTCTAACTCACGCAGCTGTTGTCATGCAATTTTTTGTATTTATCAATTTCGTAAGTTTAAGTAGGGCCCAAGAAACACGAAAAGAAAACGCCCTACATTAAGCATTGATATCATGAAGTCTGCAACAATGCTGATGATTTACAGATCTTAATTTGAATTATAAAGAAGAGCAAAGTGTAGTTTATTTTTATAGGAGAGAGGGCAAAAGAGTATACGGCTCACCTGATGGTAAGTGATTACTGTCAACCATCAACAACTGCAACACCAGAGAAATTGCAGATGTGTTGCTAGCCTTATTAAAAAGGAGTAGGCTCTTTTCTTGAAGGTCCCTAAGTCGTATCGGTTCGGAAAAATCTCTGATGGTAGTCAATTCCACAAGGAAGTTGTGTGGGGAAGAAAGCTTTTTTAATGTAATGGACCGCCAGTCATCCAGATGGCATGGATGGTATCTGCAAGCTTTGTTGTGATGTGGGATGGTGAAATTTCGGGGCTGGAACTAGTCCGAACAGTTCCTCAAAGCACTCCCCATGGTAAATGCGATAAAATACGCAGAGATGCAACATCTCCTCTCACTGGAGAACACTAGTCCAGAGATGGAAACAGTATTCTGTGTGCGGCCGAACCTGCACCTTATAAAGTTGCAGCTTGCTTTAAGTAAGTCTATAGAAGTACCAAAACATTAAAAATCTAATAGATCTATTAGACATTCATATTTACATATCATATGTTTAAATATGTACTGTTGGTGTATATTAAATAAAAATAAATAAAATAATACTATCTAACGGACCACAAAATAGAACAATTTAACAAAATAATGTGATGTGAAAAATATTGAACCGCATGCAACTTTACAAGGCGCAGGTTCGGCCTCATATAGAATACTGTTCCCATCTCTGGGCTGGGGATCCCCAGTGCCAGCTCCTTCCACTTGACCGCATCCACTGCAGCATAGCTCGATTAATCGACAACTGAGTGCTTTCCAATTGGCTCGATTCACTGGCACATCAAAGAGATCTTGCATTCCTTTGCATTTTCCATCCCAGCCGCCTAATTTCATGAACGCACATCACGGCAAAACTGCTGATACCATCCACATCATCTGGATGTTTGGTGGTCTACCACTGTACATTTCACTAGGAGTTTTTTCTGGGTATGAGCTCTCTGTGGAATAGTTTGCCACTGGCGATTTTTCCGGACTGATACGACTTAGGGACCTTTCAAGAAAAGAGCTTACTAGTTTCCAAAAGGCCAACAAAGCACCTTGCAAAAAAAGCACCAAAGGAGTTGTTCATGGGCGGCGGTAATCACTTACCATCAGGTGAGCCATGTGCTCATTTGCCCCCTATACTATAAAAAAAAAAATTATTACACCAATCATTAAACAAAATATGCGCCTAATTTTGATGACTATAAACAACAGTAACGAAAGCACCAAAGATCTGGCACAGTTCCAGTATTGCCATTTTACAACCTGTTTAAAATATACCAATTATAATTACGTGATAGTAAGTTTTATGATCTCAATTTATAATGCAAAGCATTTTAAAATTACACTTAACACTATTATGTAATTTATTGTTAGAAAAAATTTACTTCTACTTTAGATAAATGAATACTATGTAGTATATTTAAATATAATTTACTATCTAGTTATTATATTAACAAAGTTCATTTGGCATTAACATGTATGTAGATTATTACATTAGATTGTTTACGTGGTTTGTTAAAACATACACTAATGTGAGTATTGCAGAGGACCACCACTAGATTGAGTGGCAACCTGGTAAGAGATGCTGGAATTGATGGATGCAGGTGGCTTAGGGCTGTGCTTTGTGGCATTCGTTTGGGAAGGACTATGTTCAGCAGTGGACTTGTGCAGTGTTGTAATGATCATGATAATGATGATCAGTGTTTCATAATAAATTTTCATTTGATGCGTCTCTAAACCATTGCCTCTGTTGGTTTTTCACATGGTATCTAAACATTGCCCCTTATTTTGTTACTTAGAAATAAGGTTAAAGGAAGATGCATTGTCACCATATGTCAAGTGGCAAAAAGATTAACAACTTTGATATCACACAGCAGACCATTATTTAGTGTAGCTACTTATTATATATATTTATTTGTTAATGAGATGTAATTAATATATCTATTTGTTTTTAATATATTATAAAACACCGTATTTTATGTTTATGCCAATCAACTAATTCGTAATTTCGTGGTAGTCATGCTGCAGTTATATTAATAGTATAATTATAGCACAAATGGGTCAGCTCGACTGGGGAAGGAACACGCTCTCACAGAATACCAGCGTCAAATAGGAGTGTAGAGAACCGAGACCCTTTTTACTGGAAAAGAGGCATTCCATCCTAGTCCTCAAGCTGACAACGCATCTTCATTTTGATTCGCAAACGAGGATGGATGTAGACGTCTGTGGGCCACAGCAACCACTTACCATCAGGTGGACTGTGTGCTCATTTGTCACCCTATCCTATAAAAAAAAATAGTAAAAGTTACATTTTAAACAAAAAATAATAATATAAGCACATTAATATATAAATACATAGACAAATTAATAGTAAAAAATTATATAGATAGTTGTCGATGTAGTGAGGTGGCGGCATATGATCCATCACACCATTTCATTCAATGGCTGTTGTAGAGGCAACCAGGGGAAATGCATTGTTTATTTTGTGACTTACATGGCACTGTACATGGCTGTAATTATAATGTAATAGGAAAGTTAAGCTGGATAAATTTGTAGTGCAATTAATATGAAAGTGACAAAGAATACAATTGACACAATTTAAGAAAATCATAATATTTGATATGTTGTTTGAATTTTAATTCATAACAATTTAAAGTATAGAAAATTATCCATACAGATCTTCACTTAAGTTAAGGGAAAGTAGTTTCTAGTTTCACTTTAAATAACACACAAAGGATATTACTGGTCTTTGTTAGTTTTATCTTATAGTATCAAGGTCAACATAAGTGGTAGAAATGCCTTAACATTAAGCAAAGAATAATAAAACAATAAATGGAATAAAAAAATTAACATGACACAAAATATGGTAAGTAAATATATGGAATTGATAGCTCACAAATAGGTGGCTTCATATGTGCATAAAATTATAACATAATATTATGTATGACATTGTAACTAATAAGTAAAACACAACCTTGGACTGTTCATTGAGTTCAGGAACACAAATATCACATTTAAGAAAGCTTAGTGCCCTTTAAAAGGTTTCAAAGGCGGTACTTTAAACTGGGATAACTGATCACTGTATATAAAATGCAAGTCCAGTTCTGCAAGGAGTATTGCTGCCATAAATTTTAAGGGCTGGTGCTACAAAATGCACCTTGCAGCTATAAACTCAAAGGATAGTTTGCTAAAAAGCAAATGGGTAACAAGCTTGACAGAGAATGTCAAAAGGCATTAAGTCTATCCTCTATATATCCCATATATATCCTATATAGTAATCTTTTCTATTAAAGTGTTTACAATAAAGTGTAAATAAATAAATATCTTTCAGAGAGCACAATAATAACATGACATAAATTTTGCCACCCACTTTCACCATTAAACAAACAGATGCTCAGCAACTTTCTATCCCTTTGTTGAAGACATACACATTAAAACCAAATATTCCACTTTGTCATTAGTAACTCTGCCAAGGAGTGGAATAATTTACCAGCATCTGTTTTTCTATCCTCAATGTGGTGTCTTCAAGACATTGTGAGTGAAAAGGCTTTTGTTAAGCTTAGTCAGTGTACTTCAACAAATTCATCTACATCACCACTTACCATCAAGTGTGGTAGTAGTCAAGCAATGGATTATAATAATAATAAAAATTATAGTACTTATTGAAAATCAGAAATGTTCTAAGCCAACAAAACAAGCTCAGTTAGCAATTTTTATAGATTGTGGTGGCTGCATAACTAAATCTGTCATCCTATTTCATACCATGGGTGTTGGAAGATTATGGGAAATTACCCAATAAAGTCAAATTCACACTACAAAAATATTAATACCAGTTATAACAAAATATATGGTTACCTGATCTGTGCAGTCGTAAACAATGATGATTCCATGTGCCCCTCTGTAATATGATGAAGTGATAGTTCTAAATCGTTCTTGTCCTGCTGTGTCCCATATTTGTAACTTTATTGTCTTCCCATCTAACTCTACAGTTCTTATTTTAAAATCTACACCTATAGTGCTAATGTAGCTTTCTGTGTATGTATCATCAGCAAATCTGAGTAGAAGACAAGACTTGCCCACACCTGAATCGCCGATGAGCAGCAGTTTAAACAAATAATCGCTGAAAAGAGCAGAATATTTCTTATTGGACTAACAAGAAAAATCATGTTAAATATGTTTCTATCTAATACGTAATAAACAGGGGAATGCCATAACTATTCTAGACAAAAATATTGGATAAAAAACATTTCAGCTCATCAAGGAGGCGTATCTTAGTTACACTAAACAAAGAAGATTTCAATCGTCTGACGTATTTATATAGAAACTTTCACAACAAAGGAAGTACAGTGCCTATGTACCTTAGTCGATTTAAACATACGCCATTCACGATGATTTTATAACGATTACGTTCCAATTTTATAGTAGTCCGTGCGACAAACGTAATGAGTCACCAGATCCATTTCCTTAATATTTGAGAATTAATCAAGTACAACTTCATAGTTTACGAAAGTAGATTTCTACTTATTTATACGATATTCTTTGAGTTATATGAGGTAAATTAGAAATTTTAGCCCATCCTTGATTTACATGACCATTATTGAAAAAAGTATTACTTACTATTCTGGATTCATTATCACTTTATAAATATGTTCCAACCAAAATAATAGCTTAATAGAAGATACAGAAAATAGTTAATTTCTTTGTTTCGAAAATAGTTCAATCCGAAACAGCAAAAAAATTACAATAAAATATAATACGTAGAATAATGGCGGCCGACACTGAAACACCCACACTGACGTAAGTCAGAAATTCACTTCATGGCAGGAGTGCCACCTGGCAAATATTAAACTGCGTTCCAAATTTATTGGTAGATGGCAATACGTTTTTTTTTCTGCTACTAGGACGGCGCTAATTTGGAATGACGTGAAACGTCTGAAAGATCTCGTGGCGGGGAAATTATTATAGAAAAAGGTTAAGATTAATGTTTCATATTAAAATGTTGTATTAGTCTTTATTTTGTATTTGACTGTTGTTTCTTCGAGATGATAGACCCGACCGCTAAGGCGACGGTACTGCCATTTTCTACAAAAAGTCGCTTCATTGCTCCCACATCCCCACTCCGACATTTACCAATATGGAAGCCACTATAAATAGAATAGCCATGACTCCTATATATTCCTAACGGGACCCTCCCCGTTAAGAGTAATTTCGAAGTCATCCTTGCATTAGGCAATTCAGTCATTATGTTTGGAGATTTTCAGTCCAAGCATACTGTATGGACCTGTCTCACTACTACTAGTAGTGGCAAGGTGCTGCTGAATATGGCACAGTCTCTCGACATGACTGTCTATAGCCCCCTTGCTGTCACCCACTATCCCGACAATATTGACCATGCTCGTGACGTGCTATACTTCGCTCTAGTAAAAGGAGTCTCCCTCAACCTTTCCCAAAACTCTCGACGATCTAGGATCCGACCACCGTCCTGTATCCCTCATCCTTGGCCATCAGCCTCCTCCAACTCCCTCTTCCAAAACCTACACCAACTGGAAGGGCTTCAGGGAGTCCCTAGCCTCAGCTATGGACTCTCCGGACCCTCCCATTACCCTCTCTTCCGACGTCCTGACAGCACGGGGAAAATAGACACCGCGGTTGAAAATCTCCCCACCCTTATAAAATTCTCCCTTAATGAGAATGAAAGGGTTGCCCCGGTTGCTAAAACTAGGCTTTCCCTAGATATTAGCAACCTGATCAAAGCCAAAAAATCTGCTATCCGTAGAACTGCACGTTATCCCACTCCCGAATATAGACTTGCGGCCCACCGCCTTCAGCGTAAACTCCGTTACCGCCTCAAAGATTTCAGAAACCTCAAAAAGAGCAATCTCATGGAGAATATTTTCCCCTCTCATACAGCGTACTACCAGATGGCGAGAGCCCTCCGAATAGACGCTATCACTCACACTCCCCCTCTCTCTCGTCCCGACGCCTCTATTGTCTTCGAGGACGAAGAAAAGGCTAAGTGCTTCGCCAACAGCGTCGCCGCACAATGCTCTCCCAGCTCACAACCCACTGACCCCTCTCATATCCAAGAAGTGGAGTAGGAGGTCCGCCGCCGGAACTCACCCCTACCACCTCTGACCCTATCAGTGTCCAAAGATGAGATTTCATCAATCATCAAAGGACTGAAGCCCAAAAAAGCACCGGGCGCGGATGGCATCTTTGGATTACATCTTCAACCAAGCCCTCAAACATTTTCCGGAGCAGGTGTTCGCCTTATTGGCCATAATCTTCAACGCCTGCTTCGACTTCAGCTACTTCCCAAGCACGGCAAACCTCACCACCTCCCCTCCAATCACCGTCCCATTAGCCTCCACAAGGTCATGGGCATTGGAACATGTAATCTTCACGCGCATGAGGCTCCACCTGTTTCCCACAGACGGCGAGCCTCTTGTCATACCTCAAAAATTTGGGTTCCGAGCCAAACACTCGTGCCCCCAGCAAGTTCACCGCATAGTGGAATATATCCTCAGTGGTTTTTATCCTCGTCGTCAAAAGACCACCGCGGTCTTTTTCGACATTGCCAAGGTATTCGATGGAGTCTGGCACGAAGGCCTTATCTACAAATTGTTCGACTCACGCCTCCCTGACCGTCTCGTCCACCTCGTAGCCTCCTATTTGAAGGATCGTACCTCTCGTTTTAGACTCTTCTCGCCAAATCAAAGCCAGTGTCCCTCAAGGCTCTGTGCTTGCCCCCCTCCTATACATACTTTTCACCAACGACATTTCTATCCCGTCGAATGGTGTCAAACTAGCCCTCTTTGCAGATGACACAGCCCTTTACTCTAAAAGCAACTCACTGGTACAGATTCGGAACAAGATCCAAAAGTCAGTTAGTGGCTTAGGAGCTTGGTTCCGAAAATGGCGTATCGACGTAAACATGGAGGAGAGCTCCGCCGTTCGCTTTGGAATTTGGATGTTAGGAACCCCTGTCCCATAGCAAACAAAAGCCAAATACTTAGACGTCACACCTCTTCTGATGTCGGGCTACGAACTCACCCTATTATGTCCGTAACGCCGACCTCCACGGAGACTTATAGCTCCCGACTATTCAGCAATTCCTCAAATCACTCTCTGAAAGATTCTTCAAAACCTGAGAGTCCCACTCAAATTGCCTCATTCGCGAGGCAGCTGCCTATGCAGCCCCTCTTCGCACTCGCTACAGGGTCCGCAGGCCGAGAAATTCTCTTTCGGACCACTCCCAAAAAGCTTTCGGCTGACCTGGACTGCCTCCTGGCTGCTCAGGTCGAGCCTACTTAACTCATCTCATAATCTGCCTTAGTTCGGCACACTTCTAAGCGGCTACTCGCCGCTTGCGCCCTCCTTTCAGCCAAGGAGGGTCGCGTCCATTTACGGCTTAAATACCTCTCGCTAGATCATTAAGCCAATCCCAAAAGGTGGTGTTTAGTGGGTAAAAGTCACCACATAACCACCACTAACCACCAAGCGGGCGAGTAGACTAGTTTTTTGTTTTGTAAATTGCAATATCATTAATCGTATAATTAATTTTTAATAATTTCATCAATGAAATATTTTTTTTAATGTGACTAAGAAAACATTGTCATTATTTATGTGCGCACGTTGTTAACGTGATTTGAAGTTTATTTCAAATAGTAAAGTATGTAACTTTATTTCGCCTAAAAAAAGTAACTGTGTATGTGTGTATTTATCTAACACTAGCCCTAGCTAACACCCGCGCCTACACCCGCGCGATCTTTATTTGTGACACACTTTTTGTTTTGAATTGTCTGAAGTATATAGGTTATCTGTGGTCTAAGGCCACGTTTGACTTGGAAGAACATTAGCGAAAGTCTTGCATAACTTTCTTGCTATACTGTTTACATATCGTATGTATTTTTGAATTTTTTTTCGCTCTTGAATCATACTATTACAACTTATTTGATGCCAAAGGAATAGGTATTTTTGGGAAATTCCTACCTTGTAGACCTCAGATGGTATACATAAACATTTCACGAGTGAGTAATATTGACGCGAAAGCCTAAAAGTATAACCTACGTCAGGTTAAGGTATTAGTTTAAGACATTCGAGGTCTTTTTGAAAGTAAATAATTACTACACGGACGTTGCAGTAGGTAATTTTGACCCGAATTATGACATAAAATATTTTAATATTTCTTGAAATAAATAATATTTTTAAGATATATCCAACATTATTAAATAATCGTTAAGGAAAAAATGTTTTAAGTTGACTTTTACTTTTTATTAATCTGTTTTTTGACTCTTCTATTTTTCTTTTTTACGCGCAAATGTCTGGGTCTGTACGGAAAGTCGCCCGATACTAGCAGGCGTGAATGTAAACCATAGCATACTATAAGTAATACATACATAATAGAACGGGGGAGTGGTCGGAACCCGCGTAGCCACTAAAATGTCACTAACACGTCAATTCACACGTATAAATGTCACACGCGATGTGTTTTGACGTTACAGTCGTTTCCGAATTTCTCATGCAAATTATTTAAAAAATGCCTAATTGCACCCTATTTACAAATAAATATGTATTAAAATTTAAACGATTTTTTTAATGATGAAAAGCTTTGCGTGCTCAGCAGAGCGGGACAGTATTTCATGCCGGGACACCGCCTGCAACTTTACAAGGCGCAGGTTCGGCCGCACATGGAATACTGTTCCCATCTCTGGGCTGGGGCTCCCCAGTACCAGCTCCTTCCACTTGACCGCATCCAGCGCAGAGCGGGTCGAATCGTCGACGACCGAGTGCTTTCCGATCGGCTCGATTCACTGGCACTGCGAAGAGATGTTGCATCTCTTTGCATTTTCTTTCGCATATACCATGTAGAGTGCTATGAGGAATTGTTCGGATTAATCCCAGCCGCCAAATTTCGTGAACGCACTACGCGGCAAACGTCCCGATACCATCCACACCATCTGGATGCTTGGCGGTCCACCACTGTACGTTTCAAGAGGAGTTTTCTTCCGCGTACAACCTCTCTGTGGAATAGTTTACCACCTGCGATTTTTCCGGACCGATACGACCTGAGGACCTTCAAGAAAAGAGCGTACTCCTTTCTAAAGGGCCGGCAACGCACCTGCAATTCCCCTGGTGTTGCGGTTGATCATGGGCGGCGGTAGTCACTTAACATCAGGTGAGCCGCATGCTCGTTTGCCCCCTCTTCTATAAAAAAATGATGATCTTGAACATTAATCATAAGTCTAAAATATGTAAATTTATTCAGTCTGTCAACACAGCGAATCGGGTTTGGCGACGCCAAACCCTGTACAAAATAAAGTTAACAGCCATTCTATTGTATATTATAGTATTCTATGATGTAAACAATGATATCTTCTTAATTTTGTATGCCAGCTATATATAAAACTTATACGTATCAAACTTTGAGTATTAAACCAAAGGAGGCGGCATCGCAAGGCATACCCCTCTGCAAAAGGTACAAGAGTCCGACTTATACCGAATTATATAAAACTAGTTGCTGGCAAATGAGTGCCAGTCAATGAGCTTTCCGAATGAATTTAACTGAATATGTAGAAATATAGAACTGATTAATCTAGTACCTACAGTGAAAAAATTATCTCGATCCTAC